TATATATGTATTATATATACCAAATATATATGTACAGCTATATATATGTAGTATTATATTTAAGTGGGTGGGAGCAACTACATATTATAGAGGGATGGGTGGGCAGTGGATGGCAAACGACTGGCCGTTGATTACATATTAGTATACTTAACCTTGGGGTGATGCGGTGTGTCTGGCCCCGGTTTCTCCGCCACTGCCGCCGCCGCTGCAGCTGACTACCCGATCTGACAGTGCGCTTCATAATAATAATAAGTACCTAGTACCTACCTACCTGATAATACGTATAGTTGCGAATGAGCATATATTATGCACTTTATGTTTATATATATATATATATAGTGTAACAGAAACACTTGACAAATATAAATTTAAAAAAAAAAATTGATAAAAACGAATTATTGAATTAAACGTATGACAAAACTTGTAAAAATCGTATGTACAATAAATTACTTAAGAAATATATGTGTATTCTTAAATTCCCAACAAAAATATTTTTAAAAAAGTTAGGTATTACGTTTTAAATACATTTTCTCTAATACAATATTGAATAATTGCAATCATTACAACTTAAAAAAATTGTAAAAATTAACCTTTAAGATTCAAGTTAATTTTTGTCTTCAAAATTTGTCTAAATTTACAAATTGGTAATTTTAATTTTTCCAAAAAAAAATTGTATACCTAAGACGATTTAATATTTAATATTTTCAGTATTAAATAATAAATATAAATAATGTTGTACTTTACCTACTTGAAGCGCGAGCGTCTATAAATTAAATATTTAAAAAAAATATGTCCATTATTGATTAGAACAGATTAGTTATTTTATTTGTCAGATTTTTTTGTTACATCTCGTATATCCACTTATTTTGTTATTAAAAATAAAAAATGAAAATATTATTACAACATTATAATAATCATTTAATACCATATTGTGTGAAACAAGTCAATGGTCACGTCATCAAGGCTTTTTCTTAAATAAAAAAAAAAAAAATACAATAATAATATGTTCTCTCGGCCGTCTGTAATTATTATTTATTTGTAAGTAATAGCCAATAGGTACACACACGCATGACTTGTTACGCATCGTGTTGCCGGACGCACAAGACACGTGTGGCGCGTCGCCGTCTGTGTGCTCGGCGTGTAGAATAATAATATTATTGTAGTCATCCGCTCAGCCATAGAGTGTTCCGTTCGACAACAATAATTGTTGATACACATATTTCGTCCGTGGGTTTTGGTATAATATTATGCTCTCACGCGATCGCGGTTACTGCCACCGTTTAATTACAAAATACTATTACTAAATTATATATTATTTTTCCTACGATACAACATACTTAGGCGGAAACGATCACAGGCGATCTGCTACGTCCGGTGGCGATCTCGGATTTCCGCGGACTGCGCAGTCAAGTAATAATGTTACATTCGTTTTTGACATGTTCGTCTTCCTTATGATAATATAAAAGACACTTATATATAATATCATAACAATATATATATGCATATTTCAGGACTTCAGATATATAATAATATATAATATACCATGTTTTGCTTGCATGATGTGTACCGAAAAACACTCGCGGCGCGGAAATGACACGAAACGCGACCATATAAATATCCATTTGTCGACAGCACACACACATACACACTCGTCCATCGGTCTAACGAAAACATAATATATTATTATAATAAATATTAATATAAGATGAAAAAGATAATAAAATAATATAACAACGTAACGCGTATTTGACACGACTCGTTTGCATGCAGATATATCTGTTAGTGTCTGAGTACAGTACACGTACTATGTAAATATATTATAGTAATAAATATTTTTTTATAAGTTAAATTTATTGAAAAAAATTCGGTTGCCAGAGCAAAATTGAGACCGAGAAAACATTGTTACGTCTCAGTAGTTTTTGTACGAGCCACTGCGAATTATTGAAGGCATCCGAGATTGTCGAGACCTCAATTCGGAACACGCCAAGTTATAAAATCACAACAACGTCAGTCTGAGGAAAACCACAGTCTCTGCTGGCCTTTAACTGCGCGTCCGTCGACGTGCCATTCGGCCCTCAATCAAAAATCGTTTTCGCATCGTCATCCGCGATTGCGTATTAATACGCTATAACATGTTTGAATGTGCGTCGCTCGTGATGTGCGTCGATTTTCACTTTAGTGCCAACGCCCAACAATATATTTTCGAGCGACCTTTCGATGTTGCCGTGAGCGAACGCCATATCATATTGTATTATAATGTACAGTAAAAAAAAAAATAGTCCAGGACTACGGTATACTGAACATCGATTTCAAACGATGCTGGGAGGCTGTCGCCGTAAAACGTATCGTTCGTCGTTCACAACACTCGTGTTCCGGTTTCCGTGTTTCGCGCCGCGTACATGTTTTATTTCGACTTCGAACTTCGGGTTCATCGTTTGATTTGATCCATTTCAGATATCCGCCATCAGCCACGTCTTGCATGTCGGCGCATTACAACCACTGCAGTGGTCTGAAATATCAGGTTAAAATAATCGGGTTCCCACCATTTACACCTTGTCTTGTAGAGTTTAATATTATAATATTCAACTTTTATGAAATAGGTGACGCGTGTTACCAATATGCGTATTGAACTATTGAATATGGTCACGGGACACGATGAAGTGTATAAACCCTACTTTGACGTTGAATAATATACAAAATTACAAAATATGTAATAACTCATTGTCGACAACCTATTATAGTACCCACAAATGCTATGTAATAATTATAATATAATGGATATAAAACTGTTTGTCGGTCATATAATATTTTAGAGGCTGTTATTATTATTTATCTATGCGGGGCCTCTAAAATGCGTTTGCACCTGGGTCCCAAAATTGTTATCTCGACACTGCGTATTATTCCTGAGTAATAATTATAGCTGACGTGCTATATACTACAGGGCGGTCCATACGGCTATCACGCTGTATCTATACACAATGTGTGCATCATGGTATTTTAAATTATAATATGTAATATATGTATAGGTTCAAATGTTTATAATTTAAAACTCGTGCGATACAACGATAGATACGTCATGAAATAAACTCACAAACACTGAAATACAAAACATTATGTTCTGATATATAATAGGAAAAAACCTCATCACTCTTTCGCGGCAAACCACGTGCAGTTTTAACTTTGAATAACCTATTTTTTCTAACTGGAATACCAGGCACAATGGTCAGTACTCTATACGCGACATACGTTCATATGGCAAAAACTAATTGATTGTAAATCCAATCCAGATGAATTAAAAAATTTTCAATTAGAGGTAACAAAAATTGTTTGAACCGCCTCGGTATACAATTAACGTATTTGTCAATTATATTGTGGTCACCAAACCGGGAAGATAAATTTAAAATAAAATACATCTGTCAATCAAATAATCAACTTGATTATTGATTTATCGACCATTAAAGCCAATATTGTTTTTCTTCTAGAAAATACGTTTAGTAGAAGTCAAAATGGTAACGTAAAATATAGAAGTTTAATTCGGGGATGATTGGCGGTCCCGAAACACTTTATCTCGGGACACCGAGATAATATTCAAAACCGCTATAACCTTATTACGTCCGGGTCCTCTATATACTCTGTTGGTCATGACCAGGGCTTGGGACTTTATGCATTTGCATATTTGTTCGGGATGTAAAAATAATAAATCTTATCCTGTACAAATTTGTGTTGTGGTGTTAGGAGTTAAAGTTTAAAAGTTTATTGTGTATATGTTTGCATATTTTGGAATTTTTTTCTACAAATGCATATTTTTAAGATTTATTGACTTTTATTGCATATTTTAAAATAATTTTTGATTATTTACTCTTAAATCCATTTTTTAGTAAACTAATTTTATCTACATGATTTTGTTGGCAATAATATCGATAAAGCGATAATCAATAGCGTTACGGGGAACCCATTTTATTTTTAGCTCTGAGGACAATAATATTTTTTTTATTTAATCTGTCTTTTACAGTACTATTTTGTTTGCCAGTACATAGTCATCGGCTGACTACGATCGTCATCGTGTGCATGTATCGTCAGTAGTTGTCGTATTTGTATTTGTATTCGTTATTTTTTGTATTTATTAGCGCTCGTATTTGTGGTATAATATGCCAAAAGAAAAAAAACACAAATTAGTCGATTGAGAGGTTTCATTTTGGAATTTGGGTATAATGTATTTTCCTCAGACGGAAGAATTTTATTTTGCAAAATATGTGAAATAAAGTAGAAATGAACGACGATCTAGTGTAATACAACATATACAAACAATAAATACAGATAAATAAAGACGTATGAAATGTTCAATACAAGAACCCAGCAAATGATTAAACAAACTAATACAACTAAAATATAATTATAAAATGATTATTTTTCATTACATAAAAATGTTAATTGCCAGGTAAAGAAGATGCTAATTGTTAAAAAATCCATTTTTTTTAATAATATTGTAGTTTATATAAAATATAAATTTTTAGTAATATGTACAAGAGATATGTTTTTTTATGATCTATGATGTGCAGCGGTTATAAGGTATAGTTTCGTCGGTCGTCGTGGGATTATTTATCAACCATTAATGACTACCGTTCGTCACAAGACTAGCACTGGTTGATTTACGTTGTTATTGTAATAGATTTTTGGGTTTGCAATAAAATTCAATTTTCGCACGAAAAACAATTTAATAATACTTTAGGAAAGTAAATAATAGTTAAATACTTAATTTTATATTGATATTAAATAGAGAATATTATTGTTTAATTTTTGAGCACTATTATTTTCGTATTGTACTTACATAAAAGGGCAATAATCAAATTATCGTTCGAAAGTCGTATAACCGCTGTGACGATGCACTTTGCACAGCTGTATAATAAAATGTATTATTTATTATTTATATACATACAATTAGTATTGTGCATCATGGTCTGACAATAGTAGTTAATGTTTTCCGTTTCTTTTGTTTTCAGCGTGAGTGGTTGCAGATGGATGTGGACAGAGAGAGAAGACTGCGCCTGGACACGGAGGCGAGACTCAAGGGTTCCAGTTCCGAGGCAGACAGATGCCGCGTCAAGCTGTCGACTCTGCAAAAAGACTTCACCAAGTGAGTTTTTTTTTTGCATTATTATTATTATAAGCATGGCCTGTCATCGTTTTGATTTTTCCTGATGATCGCCCCCATCTACACAGCATATATTGTGGTAACTCGACGTTGTATAGTAGGTAAGCTTCCGAGTAAGAGCAAAAGTCGGCGCACTTCAAACTGACAATCGCTTTGACCGTTATAATACGGTACTTACTACGCACGTCTATGTGAACATAATACAATTTGTGAATGTATAAATATGTAGAGGGTTCCGTGTTGGTGTATTATTATTTGTTATTATTATTATTATTATTGTAATCGATAAATTCCTATGCCCGTTATCCACGTTTGGTTCGTAATTTAGCATAATAATTTATTTATCACGATAGTTTCCCTAGACGGAGACAAAGATACAAAACAATAAGGAGACGTTAGACGTATAATAATAATATTATTTTTTTTACAAGCCGATAATAACTGGTTTACAGACGTTCTTTTGACGACATTTATTTTATATTTTATTTGAGCACTATTCATATGTTTTAATATAATACGTAACTATGACCTATCATTATATTTTTTTAGTCAAATGTTAACGTAGAGGGTCCATACAACAAATTACCCATGCATTTTATTTCGGTAATCATTTTAACTTTATGAATTTAATTTGTCACACCAAATTGAGTAAAATTTTTATTCCATCCGATACCATTTTACCTGTTTTTTTTTTTATTAGGCCTCACTATTTTTTACACTTAGAAAATTACACGATAGGTACCTTTTTCCCCTTACTTGCCCGGATGTCGGTAACGAAGATTTTCCTCCGGGATCCGAGCGTCGCGCGTATTATATACCTATAACATTAAAGTATCATCTTATCGTCGCCGTCACTTTATCAGGATTTAGAAAAAAGCCGAGAAAGCTGGATTTGAAAACGCTCGCAGAGAAATGCATTTGTATGTGGTTTTATCGTGTTTGTGTGTGTGTAGCAGAGGAGAATTTTTCTGGCGCCTCTCACTAACAATTATTGATGGTTGGAGGGGTGAGGGGTGAGAGACCCGGTTTTCCTGGCCGTCGCGAATATCAAAGCGCGGCTGCGGCGGCAGGCACAAAGCCAATCGCGTAACCCGCATCGGACAGCTAATAAATCGGTCTTTCTCCCGTATATACACTACAACCAACGGCTAGTTGCTTTTACAGCCTTTCGCGCCCTTTCGCAACATGCAGACGTTATAATTATCGGGAGACCTTAATCCCGGGGACGAGTGGGGACGGTGTCGGAAAGGCGTGAAAAACAAGCAAAAAAATATATATGTATCTAAAAGAGATCATGTACTTAAGCTTTATACCGCCACCATCACTGTTTCACTTTATTTATATAATATATACCACTCGGCCGGGTACCAAGGACAGTTCAGTTTTTGCGGAAAATCCTTTAAACCGCTCCTCTGTCGTCTTTTTTCTTTTCGCTTTTATCTCTTTTATCTACCTACCTATATATAATATATTATGTATATTATATGTATAAACCGTTTGAAAAGCGTCTGACAATTTACATATAATTATCGTCCTTCTCCAACCCCGGCGGGTGGTTATCTATTTTCCGAAACGGGCACATACACTCCGATAAATATAAATTAAATGTACGAAAATAATAAATAAAAATATACTGTTATGTTAGATAGTGCCAAGTTAAATATATAATATAAGTATCCTAGTGGTGTAGGTACAATTATAACGATTTTTTAGATTAATATTTTCACCAAATGCTATATTGGAATACATATCCGGTATATTATAAATATTTAGGTATAAGTGATTTCGAAGACGAATATTTATAATTTATATAATAGCGCGGCTAAATTATCTGAAAATTGTATTATATATATATATATATATATATATATTAGTTGGGTAAAAAAAGTCTTATATCATAATGTAAGACAAGAATATAATTTAATATTAATAATTGTATAGTATATTCAATTGTATACATGTAAAATATGAAGATTGGTGATAACTTTTCACTTAGAAATTATATAGTTCATATATAAGTAAAACAATATTGTACGTCATCCCGCACAAAGTCTCTTGTAATGACACTTCCAACTACATCTGTAATTAATATACTTATACTATCTATGATACACTTTTTTTTTAATAAGAAATACACATTCTGTAAATTATGACAGTACGATAAACATGAATTGGCTGATAAAAAGAAGTGGTGACACTTTTATTGCTTATAATATTATACTATATAGGAAATAATAGCTATTATGATTAGGGTCAGATTTTATTGAAACAAAAAAACAAGATATATGCTCTATTTATTTTTATTGAAATAAGTAAAAATGTATAAATCGAAATGTGTTTAAAAATATTTGTTGTTTATTAAATTGAGAACTTTCATATTTTACGACTTCGGATCATAACAAATTCGTTGAATACTTGATCAAATTAGTTGGTTTTATGATTGTATTTTACCAACTGATATACAATTGAATTGGCTCAGAACTAAGTTTACCAACAATATTCTATAACACCACCACCTCTATATTTTGTCGATAAATGTAGAAATGTGTTTACTTACTGGAAAGCGCTGGCCAATGGCCCATAGAATAGTGTGACGATGAGTTATAATTTAAACCTAATATTTTATTATTATTGTTTTATTATTAGTTGAAAGCTTAATTTGTTACCAATATAATAAATAGGTACTGTGCACGTGCTTCGAGTTTCTACCGCCGTTTGGCATATTTTATTCGCAAGATGACCGCAATTATACGTGGGAAAATACAAACAAATATGTAGGTATACCTGTATACAAACTGCGAAATCTCAATTAAAACGGTACGACCGCGTTAAGCGCATAAATCGTGTGGTTTTTCTCCTCCGTCGCTCTTGGTATACACATTCAAGTATATAATATACAATATGAGCACGCGTGAACTCGTCGTAAAATACATACAATGGACTCGTGTGTGTGTGCGTGTGTTTGAGGCTCTTGCTCGAGCAAAACTCGGCGGAACGCGAAATATTCTGGGAGTACTCCCCCGCGACTACTATCATCATCATCATCATCCCACCTGCCTGCCTGCCTGCTCACCCTTCATCATATATATATATATAATATAATTTAACACCCAGCCTTGAATATTAATTATGCCGGAGACTTTTTTCCCGGCCTTTTGCATGTATGTATATAGGTACATTGTTGTGTGTGAATACCGAATAAATACGTATATAGGCAGGGACTATATGGGCGCGGGCGTGCAGAAAAGGTCCTTCCTCTCTCTGCAACGTGAGCACGGGTCATTTATTCACCGCGCGAATGGGGAGAAAACAAACTCGCCGGTGTCGGACTGCTGCTGCTGCTGCTGCAGCTACGAATACGACGACGCTTATCCACCGGAAAATCGGAATTGTTTGAGTTCCGGTAGGGGTGATGGTGGAGGTGAAGGCGGTGGTAGTCGTGTAGTGGCGGTAGATGGAGGGTTTGGGGGGGGGGAAGGGTGGGGTGGTAGACGATCGTCGTATACGCTCGCTATATATATACCCGGCATGCCATAATGTATATATACGTATTTATATTATTTAGGGGAAGGTGAATTATATCGAGAGAGGTATAAAACGCAGCCCACACGAGCGTGCAATATATAAAATACATACACATAAGGACCAGCGTCCGTGTCAGCGTTAAATCTCACGTCGTTAGAAAGGTGCGCGTGTGAGCGCATATGTATATATAGTAAAAATAATATAATAATAATGTCACCGGGTCTGCTGTAGACGTCCCTCTGCATCCGCATGAAGTATATAATATATAGATGCATGGTTAAAAGTGAAATACCGGGCCAAAATATATATTATACGTGTTCGAAAATAGAAAAGACCCACAAAGGGACCCGCGAGGCCATGACAGGCGATGCGCCTCCCGAGTGACTAATATATGTTTACAATCTACACAGTGTGTAGCTTATATGTATAGTTGGATTTGGCCACGAATCACTTCGTTCCCCTCCCACAGTACATATATTATACATAAGTATGCGTCGCGTAAATATTATTCATTAACAACGACGACAAAGACACGGCGATCTATTTAATAATAAACAACAGCTTTTCGGCGGTATTTCAATTTATTATTATTTTCACACGTGCTAACGTTATTTAAATTTATCCATTATCACATTACTATACATTGTGTATTCTGTCGTCTAATAAAATGTTTGAAGTCATCTATCTGCTCGGTGCCCTGAACTAAATATCTTCGATTACAAAAACTTGACACAATTTTACAAAATTTGTAACTTTGGAAACCAATGTTTTGATATTCGTGGCGATGCTGCAGCAGGGTGGTGATAATAGTTGTAAATTTAGGCTACAAATATTATAAAACATGTTGTGTCACAAATTAGTTTCTAAAGTGCGGTTGTATATTATGTAGTGGAAAAATTAGAATTTGGGCTCCAGAGTCCTGGACTGATGGACGTATTCTATACATTATTTATTTTACAAGCGTCCTTTTTTCCTCGCCCTCTCCCCCATAAAGATTCGCACAAGATGGCCTAGGGTGGTCTCATACGCATTCTATCTGTGGTCGAGTACGACGTTATGTTTATATTGTGTGTTTAGTGCGTGCTATTCGGTCTTACGGGTCAGCGTACTCGTTCACGCGTTTAGTTACACACTGCACATACATAGGTACTTGGTGTAATATTTCTACCCCTCGGATGCGAGTTTATCGCGGTGCCTACAACGACGACGTCCCCGGGATTAATTGGGCGGATTGTATATATATATATATATATAACTACGCACTCGTCGCTGATAGGACGTACATCCGTTTTCCATCAGCCGACCGGTGTTTTGCGAATGGGGCGGGTCAGAGAGGGGTAGGGGTATAGTCTTGATGTCGTTATTTGGGCTCGTAAGTTGTGTGTGCACCGCAAAACACGTATTATTTTATTGCGTTTTTTCACGACCGCCTGGGAGAATACGATTTTTGAGGGTTAAAAGTTTCGGCGACGATCATAATATATATAATATGCAGGTAACCGAACGCGTGTGTATATAGGTATATGAGCCAGTGCAGTGCACGCGAGTGTGTGCGTGTTTTCCACATTGCACGTGAAAAACGCTAAAGAGCATGATGTGCATGCCGCAATATACATATATATATATATATGTATATACATGTTACATATAGTAGTCTATGTGTAATGTAAAAGTCGTTTGTTATAATATATCATAATATATTATAC